CAAAGAGAAATACATATTATGCTACTTAAAGGGTTTGTAAAATAGTATAGCCGCGCGGCTGTACTATTTTAAAAACAATTAAAAAGCTGAGTATAGCCGCCCGGCTATACTCTTTTAAAAACAATTAAAAAGCTGAGTATAGCCGTCCAGCTCTACTATTTTTACATGTAAAAAAGAAGGAGCCCAGTCATTAGGCGCCACATGTCAAGACAACCCCTACTTTTAAAAAGAAATAGAAAACACAGAGTATAGCCGCGCTGCTGTACTCATTTTTGTTTTTATTTTTATTCAAAAAGCACCCTCCAGCGATTAGACGCCACGTGTCACTATACCATTTAAAAATAAATAAATAAATAATCGCAGTATAGCCGCACGGCTATACTATTCTAAAAGGTCTATCTATACTATTTGATATATAAATTAAAAAAATAAAAGAGGACCCTCCAAGTTTCATTAGTTTGTACTTTGTATATATAAATTTGCTAGTTTCAACATATCCAAAGTATATATTAATAAGCCACTATATAATATTTTAGTATAACTTTTATAACATATATTATTGGTATTCAATAATATATGAGAATTATTTGTCTAATACGTGAACTTTGTGTGAATTATTGAAATTTTTGTGAAAAAATATGGGTATTAAGCATTAGAAATGCGTATGTACATGTACAATACGACTATTGTACGTTTGCTTTTTAAAAAATAGTAGACACGTATAGAATACGAATGTATTATTGAAAAATACATACGTACATATATACTTATATATATAAAAGACTATAAGATATTAATTAAATTAAAGAAGTTGGGGAAAAAACAAAAGTAATGAAACTAATTTTATATTTTTGTAAACAAAATTTAAAAAAAATAGAACAAACACTTCTCCCGACGAAATTTCGTCGGCATAGGTCTATGCCGGCAAATATTCGTCCGATTAGATTTCTCCCGACAAAAAAACCTCTGCCTACGAAATATTCGTCGGGAGAGGTCTTTCGAAAAAATATATATATAAACTTAGGATGTTTAGATTAATTAATTTTTTAAAAATTTATTTTTAGTAATTAAATAATATATTTGACTGATTTGATTAGTTAAATTAGTAATTATATTTTAATTATAATTTATTTGGTGAATAATTAGTATTAAATATGTTAATTAACTTCATGAATTATATTACTTAATAAATAGTAATTCAATTTTTCTTTTTCTTTTTCTTTTTTCCCTTTAATTTTCACTAAGTAAATAATAACTAAAACATGATTACTAATCAAAGAGAAATACATATTATGCTACTTAAAGGGTTTGTAAAAGAGTATAGCCGCGCGGCTTTAGTTTTTTCCGTTTAAAATGATGACGTGGCAAGCATCTGTGAGAATCTCATAGATTCGTGAGGGGCAAATCTGACTTTTCAGTTAGCCTTCTTCACCTTAGCAGCCTCCAACCCTGCCATCGTAACCTCCAATCTCCCCCACCTTAGCCGCCTCCAAGCCTTCAGACCCAGCTCAGTCGTTCAAGGGCTGGTCTGCAGTTTTCGTGTTGTGCTCATTCTGCAGTTTTCAATTTGGGGGTTTGTTTCACTCCCGACACCTGACAAATTCTCCACCGTCAGATTCCATCTCAACAAGCACAGATCCAAACCCATTGGTGTAGAACAATGGCGAAACCCACAAAGCTCAACTCCATCGTCGACCTCCAGATGCAATCTTAACAGCCAAGCCACCAGGTTCGGCAGAAAAGACCCAAGAAGAGCTCTTGCTCTTCCGCTTCTTATAGTCCCAGCAGAAAAACAAATCACAAAAGAAAGGCCCACGTATAGCCGCGCGGCTATACTATTTTTACATGTAAAAAAGAAGGAGCCCAGTCATTAGGCGCCACATGTCAAGACAACTCTACTTTTTAAAAAAAATAGAAAACACAGAGTATAGCCGCGCGGCTGTACTCATTTTTATTTTTATTTTTATTCAAAAAGAGAAAAGAAACTTTGAGAGCTGAGAGAGAGAGAGCGAAGAGGGAGCTGAGAGAGAGAGCGAAGAGAGAGTTGAGAGAGAAAAGAAAAAAGTGATAAAAAGTGTTCAGTAGGCAATAAGACAGTATTTATAGATAGTATTTGATAAATGATTATAAGGTGGGTAGTTTTTGGTTATTTATTATTTGATTCTTGTGGATGAATTTCCGAATTTACCCTCATTTTTGACAGAAAATTTAACAGACTTGACGGAAGGACTGCTGGTGCAACGAAACACAGAGTTGAGTGACCCCGGCAACTAATAATTGAATTTATGGACCAAAGTGTAACTACGGGTATAGTTGAGGGACCATTGCTGCGAATAACCCAAAAAAAAAATTGAAAACACAGAGTATAGCCGCGCGGCTGTACTCATTTTTATTTTTATTTTTATTTAAAAAGCACCCTCCAGCGATTAGACGCCACGTGTCACTATACCATTTTTTTAAAAAAAAATAATAATCGTAGTATAGCCGCACGGCTATACTATTCCAAAAGGTCCATCTATACTATTTGATATATAAATTAAAAAAATAAAAGAGGACCCTCTAAGTTTCATTAGTTTGTACTTTGTAGATATAAATTTGCTAGTTTCAACATATCCAAAGTATATATTAATAAGCCACTGTATAATATTTTAGTATAACTTTTATAACATATATTATTGGTACTCAATAATATATGAGAATTATTTGTATAATACGTGAACTTTGTGTGAATTATTGAAATTTTTGTAAAAGAATATGGGTATTAAGCATTAGAAATGCGTATGTACATGTACAATACGACTATTGTACGTTTGCTTTTTAAAAAATAGTAGACACGTATAGAATACGAATGTATTATTGAAAAATACATACGTACATATATACTTATATATATAAAAGACTATAAGATATTAATTAAATTAAAGAAGATGGGGAAAAAACAAAAGTAATGAAACTAATTTTATATTTTTGTAAACAAAATTAAAAAAAAATAGCACAAACACTTCTCCCGACGAAATTTCGTCGGCATAGGTCTATGCCGGCAAATATTCGTCGGATTAGATTTCTCCCGACAAAAAAACCTCTGCCGACGAAATATTCGTCGATAAACTTAGGATGTTTAGGTTAATTAATTTTTTTAAATTTTATTTTTAGTAATTAAATAATATATTTGACTGATTTGATTAGTTAAATTAGTAATTATATTTTAATTATTATTTATTTAGTGAATAATTAGTATTAAATATGTTAATTAACTTCATGAATTATATTACTTAATAAATAGTAATTCAATATTTCTTTTTCTTTTTTTCCTTTAATATTCAGTAAGTAAATAATAACTAAAACATGATTACTAATCAAAGTAATTAAAAAAGAGAAATACATATTATGCTACTTAAAGGGTTTGTAAAATAGTATAGCCGCGCGGCTATACGTTTTAAAAAAAAATTAAAAAGCTGAGTATAGCCGTGCGGCGGTATTATTTTTACATGTAAAAAAAGAGGAGCCCAATCATTAGGCGCCACATTTCAAGACAACTCTACTTTCTAAAAAAAAATGAAAACTCGGCGGTACTCTTTTTTGTTTTTTTTTAAAAAAGGGACTAAAAAAAGGACCCTCCAGCGATTAGACGCCACTTGTAACTATACCGTTAAAAAAAAAAAATTAAAAAATCGTAGTTTAGCCGTATAGCCGAAAGCAGTATAGCCGATCGGCTAGACTTATTTTGAAGCGGTTTCTTTTATAAAAAAATATAAATAGTATAGCCGCCCGGCTAGACTCTTTTTTTTTTCATGAAAAAATAGAGTTGGGTGGTTTCAAGAAACTGTGAAGGGTGTCAATAAAATTTCCCAGTCCAAATTGGGCTATGTTGACTTAAAAGTAAATTCTACCTTGGGCTCGTAGGCTCGCTTAAAAACGGTGGGCTCATCCAAACCCAGGAAGCCTAGTCACAGTCGGTTTTGACCTTTTTAGTGGATAAGATCAAAATAAAACGAATCCACTCCAATCAGAATTTTCCAGGTAGAAAGTACACATCACCGCAAAAACAAGAAAATGACTTCTGAATTCAATCCCACCGCAAAAACTTCCACACACATTCAATCTCACCCATCAGATTCCTTCCCAATCAATTTCAGCCGTCAGTTCTGATTCCGCACAGCTTTTACCTTTTATAGCCACAAACAGTGATTCCCTTTCCCTCTCCTCCCTTTTGTTTCCGGAATCCAAAATATATTCAAATTCAGTTCAATCCACAAAACTTCCCACCCAAGAGAAGAGAACACAAAAGGCCTACCTATATATAACTGTGAAGCATCAGATATTTTTGTGTCTGTCTTCCAAATAGAAAATTCCATTGTAAGAAGATGTCTGCAACAGGAGGTGGTGGTGATGGTCAGGGGGAAGAGAAGAAACCAGGGGATCAGTCAGCCCACATTAACCTCAAAGTCAAGGGTCAGGTATATATTATGTTACATGTTCACAATGTTTTGCACGTTCATGTTTTTTTATAATTTTTTTGGCGATTGTTATGTTTTCTTGAGAGATTTGGGTTTCTGCTTTGGTACCAGTATGGTTACTGAGAAAATTTGGGAAAGTTGGGGTGGCACTGAGAGTGATTTTTTGTTACTGTTCTACCTATGCTTATGAGCAATTTATTATGTTATGAAAAACATGGTCGTCTGCTTCAATTCTCTACCTACTTCCAATCATGTTTTTTTGTGATTGTTAATGTTTTTTGAGATTGATTCTGGTTGGTTTCAAATGGGATTTGGGTTTTTGCGTTGATACCTGTTTGGTTACTGAGAAAGCTTGAGAAACTTGGGGTGGCACTGAGAGTAATTTTTTGTTTGCATTCTCTACTTCTAATCATGTTTTTTGAGATTGATTCTGGTTGGTTTGAATGAGACCAGTTTAATTACTGAGAAGCAGAGTCTTCTATTTGCATCCCCTGTTTCCAGTTATTTGAATTATTGTTCAATGGTTTACTTTGTTGTTCTTCATTCCTTATTTTATTTACAAAGCGAAACTTATTTTTATTAGAAAAAGTTCAATCCTTAACAACCATTCTAGTTTTGAGAATAAGTTTATAATTGTTTTTTGTTGAATTATAGGATGGCAATGAGGTTTTCTTCAGAATCAAGCAAAGCACCCAGTTGAAGAAGCTCATGACTGCTTACTGTGATCGGCAGTCTGTCGACATGAACTCGATTGCCTTCTTGTTTGACGGCCGTAGGCTCCGGGCAGAGCAGACTCCAGAGGAGGTTAGATTTTGAGTTATTCTCAAATTTGATCAATGTATATTTGGCTATTTGAATTGAATTTGCATCTCACATTTTTTCTGTTGGTGTTGGTAGCTGGAGATGGAAGATGGTGATGAGATTGATGCAATGCTGCACCAAACTGGAGGGTGGGCGTGAAATCTTCTTCCTTGTTTTTTTTAAACTGCAAATTGGGTAAATCTAATACTTTGTTCTTACTAGGGAACATTCAATCTATATTTAAAAGAAAATGTATGTGAATTTGAGGTTTCTTTGTGTATTTCCGACTTTGTATTTGGCTAATGGGAACCTCTCACAACCCGAAAAATAATAGGGTTGAGTATTGAAATAAATATTGGGGTTAAGATTGAATTTCATGACACACATGTAAAACATTCTGAGAAGCCTGAGAAGTATTGTATATCATGACTCAAAAACATGATATTCTAAGAAGTATATGTTCCTAAAGTACTGAAAGCAGTTGTTGCTTTGAGAAGCCATGTGAAACATGTAACAGTGTAGACGGCAAAAACACAGAGTTTTGACAGTCCAATAATAAGCATATATCCCGAGCAACGTATCTAATCCTTTTGCATATCCTAAGAGCATGGATGAAAAGCTAAACTGAGATCTGAGTAAAGGGTGGCTGAACGAACTCAAGCCGGTAACTGGAGCCTTTTGTTGTTTTTCCAGCTGCAAATCATATGATTATTTAATATAAATGAGGAAAGGCTCAGATAAATACAAATAATCACCAAAAATTGAATGCATATTATCAATAGGAATATATACCTGTGGAAATAATAGTAGAAGAAGTCACCATATAGCAGTGTTTGAACAATCCCGGAAATCCATGCTGCAAAAACCAAAGAACAAAGAACATAAGCATAAAGTTTCAGGTTGAAAGCAATAGTCCATCAAGTCAAACTAGAAAGGGCAATGTTGTGCCAAAAAGATGGTGATCCTCTTTGGTTTCAAAAGAAGCCAGGCTGCTAAACTAGAGTAAGGTGCAAGCTAACTGTGGCAACCTAACAATCATGCATGCAAGCCTACTACTGCCTCAGGGACTGAATTTACTCCATGCAGGATCAGAAGTGTAATATGAGGTATGGGATCTCAGAACATGTTAAGGCTTACGCTCAACATATTAGATAGAGTTCTCAAACTTCACCACTTTCAAACAAGGAAGAAATTAAAAACACTAACAAAAAGTTAAGTTCATATTTTGATGGTTCATTATAACCTTTAGAAGAAACAAGAAATCTCTGTGGTGCCATGCTTATGTGATATGTTACATTTCATATACTGCCTGCATTCGATGTAACATCAAGAGCAGTATGTGTGCATTCGATACATCCATCACAACATCTCTACTTATCTCTATAAAATAATGGTAACAGAAAAAATGCGAGCGAATGCACACAGGACACAGCGAATGCACACAGGACACACACACACACACACACACACACACACACACACAGGGCATAGATACAATGAGAGAGAGATAGAGACTAGAGAGGGAGAATCGTACGTATCCAATGGATATAGTGTGGTTCAGTGAAGTAACGGTAAATCCAGTTGAGAATGTATAACGCTCGGTATGCTCTGCAAAAATTGTTGAGCACATCAACACAAACACCAAAGAAGGGTATTTTTTTTTGAAAGAGCACCAAATAAGTATATCATCAGGCACAACTAGCATAGATAAACATCTTGGAGGTAACAAGTTGAACGAGATATTTTTTTCAAATGACACTGTTCTAGAGGATACTTCTAGCCAAATGATTATGAAAACAACAAAAAGGAAACAGCATTTAACTTAGGAAAAGTATTTACCTAAGAAGGAGCTATCAACTATCATGGCTATGCATTAACTATTAGGAAACTAAAAAACTAACAATTTGATATGGTATGGCAAATCACAAAGTTGTTTAGAAAAATATACCCAAGAAGAAATACATATTGCCCAGTCAAGTTGTCAATGTTTCTCGTTCTCTGTAACAGCACAAGCTGAGGAAGTATAGCAACGGCTTCTAAATACAATGAAAATGTCCACATGACCTGACCCATATCATTACAGAGCATATAAGAAAGATAAAATAAGAGAGAAGAAGGTGCAGCTATCTTTCTGGCAGAAGTTCTCTAAACAGCAACTAAAAGATATGCAAACGAACCTCCTTGAAGGTGAACTTCTCATTGATTATTAGGGCCAAGAATATGCATGGCAGCACAATAAAAACATAGCGGAAGGTGTCTTGGTCCTTATCATAGGACCTGCGAACAATCTTGTGCTGCCTGATGTACCAAACAATCGAAAATGAGCTCCCCAAGAATATCAACTTCATGATGGTATTATATAGAGAAATAAAATCAGTGAAAATGTCCAAGTAGCGGGTAGCGAAAACAACGGCATAGAGTTCTTGAGTCTTCAAAGAAATACCTGCATACAAAGAAACACGTTAAAAAACCAATGTTGGTACTAGCAAGATGCAACAGCAAACCAATCCCCTATAACCCCAAATATTAAATGGTAAGAAAGATTTCAACTTTAGCCCTCTAAATTATAAAAAAAGGAGGCTTTTAGGGCAAAATTAGTAAACTAACACAACATTTTGGCCTTTTTCCACTGTCAGCTGGATTATAAGTTAGAGCTCAGAACCCAATATTATTTTCAGCAAAATTCAACTGAAAATGATTCATTCTAGCTATCTATGCCACCAAATAAAATGTTAGACAGAGTTTCACATATGATCAAATTGAATTGCAACTTCAAATCTTCATTGGGTTTCATTCAACACAGAATATGAATGCAAGTATGCACGAACATTCATTGCTTGATAAGTATGTCAACTAGAAACAAACATACAGAGAAAACAAGAAAAAGAAGAAGACGGGATTGTCGTACCGGCACAAGATTTGATTGTGTGGATCTTGAGGAGCAAGACGAGGACGCTGGCCAGGTGGGTCATGTCACCCGCTAACCTGAATATATTCATTTTGTTGGATCCGAATGGTTGTTTGTGTTTGGATCTCCTGGGAATATATGAAAGAAATTAAATGGCTTACTAGTTGCTTCTCTGCCAATCAAAGAGCCGAAAGGCACAGAAAGCCAGCAACTGGTTTAATTCCTCTGCAGTTTTTACTGTTTCTGTGCTCAGTGACGAAATATGTCACGGAGTAGATCTTGGTTTGCAGTGTTCTTCTGCTTCAGTCGTAAGTTGGGCCTCTTGTGCTTTCTAGTCCTTTTGGAGCCCTTGTATCTAATGGGCCTTTGGGCCTTGGTTCGCAAGGGAAGTTTAGAATTCTTTTGCATGTGATATGCATGTGCACTAAAATTGACCCAAAAAACCAATGAATTGCATGATCCTTTTTTTATATTTACAAATAGATATTTTAAACTAATTTAATGTACGGGAAGGTGGATCAAACTCGAGTGCAAAGAGGTGAACACACTACTTTAATGAATTTCATGACTTTGGATCAAGTAAACATTAAAAATCAAGGCTAATTGACAAGGACAAAAAAGTGTAAAGGAACATGTCATTGTATTTGACATGTTATAATGAAAGAATAATTCTCAAGACACCCAAATAATCCAAAAAGTTACATGAATAAAATTTAGGGAAGTTTTGATGACTCTAAATACTATTAAGGATGAAACCATCATGTTCAATGCATGCAATATCAATAATATAAAGGACATATAGACAACGTTTCAAAATTTAAAGAAATTATAATGGACCCAACATACACATCATTTTGTATGCCTTCTATTTATTCGTTTTTCTTTGTATTCCAGCACAAATAGTGGATCCAACCGTCGGATTATTCTTCATTAAATAATCTGACGGTTGAATTCATTATTATTATTATTATTTTTAAATATATTGACCAACGAAGACAAACGCATGAACTAAACTAGCCAAATAGGAAATACATCATTCAAATTGACGAATTAAGTAAAACACAATCTATTTTAGAAATATCCTCTGGTTCGATTCTCCATATTTTTTATCGTGAATAAAAAAGAAACTTAATAATTCATCTTTATTATTTTGTATTTATTCGTCTTTACATTTTTCATTTATATTTAAATTTCATATCCATGGACAAGATATCAGCCCAATTCAAATGAAACTAAATTATGCGAGCCCAACATGATCCGGACCCAAGTAAATACCTCCTATGCTTACAACCTCGATAGGATGATCATCACACTCAAAAATTTTATCGTCAACAAAGACACGAGAAATAACAAACTAATAAAACTACATACTCATTATAGTAGGAAATCAAGAAGGATATATCAAAAAAGGCGAGCTTTGATCCAATAATCTCAATGACTCTATAAATATATGGTCACCAATATCAAACATAAAAACCAACCTTTATCAAATTTTGAATATCAAATCTAATGGTGAATTTTTAGGTGACAAATTTTTGGTCAAAACAAAGACCAAAATATAGTCAATTGGACCACCGCAAAAAAAAAAAACTAAATTAGTATTTATTGAGGCTAATCCCACTAATCCCACGAGTAACGGACTTGGCGGGTCCACATAGAGTAAAAGCGTGCTCTGTGATATTTCCATGTCTATATATGAAACTTCCTTATAGAAGAGAGAGAGAGAAACACAGAGAGAGAGGGGGTCGGCCGCTTTTTACTTCGTCTCTTCACAGACAGAAAGCACGCATCTCAAGCAGCAGAGTGAAAAATGCAATATATATAGTGAGTAAATCGGTCTCTCTGTAACGGCTACTTTTGGTGAGAAGTGAGAAGTTTGTCTGTGAGAGAGAGCAAGAGACTTTGGTCATTTGACGAGGAAGGACGGTTGGGTTGGTGGTTGCTTCATAAATGGATTACAATAATAACAAGTAAATACCCCTCTCTCTGTCTTTTTGGCTACTGGGTTCGTTTGGAAATCGATGTTTTTGTGATAAGTTTGCTTCTTTATGTGTTTTTTGGGGTTGTTGAGGCAATGTAGACTGGGATTTTGCTCCTTCTTTTTTATTTAGTTATTTGCATTTTCCCTTTTGATTTGGGGGATCGAATGCTGGTTCTGCAAATTGGGTTTGCTTCAATTTTGACATAGGTTTTTAGTTATTTAGAGATGATTATGATTCATCTGGAACTTTAAGGCTGAAATGAGGATGATGTGGGCTCTCTGATTCACTTGGTGGGTCATGGTTTTGTGCTTTTTATTTGCTTTTTTCTTTGCTTAATTTTTTTTTGGTACTGTGTTAAAGTAAAATGCCCCAATATAGATTATGATATCCTTCTATTCTAGCTGTATTTATCCTTCCAGATCTTGATTACAGAAGCATACATTTATTGATATGTGTTTAGCATCTAGGATTGGATCAGATGTTCCTTTCCTACTCTTCTTTTTCTTTTTCTTTTTTCTTTGGGACAAAACACATTTGGTTTGCTTTACTTGTAGGTGCTGCCGCTTACTGTTTGGTTACATTTCCATTTGGCAGCTTTGTTGATTACGTTGATCTTCTACTCACTGATTTGTTTCTTTCTACCTCTATAGAATCAACCAGCACACACAGAAAAAATTAGAAATAAAAAACAAGAATAGATTCACAATGTATATTAAACATTAACTAATTGTATTACATTAGTAGTTTTGGAACCTAAGATCGTGCACATTGTGTAAACTTTGCACTGTGGCTCATACTTGAGATGGGGGTAGTTTTGTGGTTTTCCTTTCAGTTGTTTCAAGCATGGGAGTTCTTACTTCTGACCTCATTTTACTTTCTTTCCTACTGTGTGAAATGATGATAGTGAGCACTGGGATTGGCAAAGGAATCATCATAGTACCCCAAAGAACTCCAATTATGGTGCGCCTCGCCACAGTTCGTAATTTGCTAATAAATTGTTATTACTAGAATGGAGTTAGTGATTTCTTGCTTGGTTCATTTTGAGCAGACATGCCTGAATACCTGTGGAACGGAGTGCCTCAGAATGAAGAAGATCTTTCGTACATGCTTGATGATGAAACAACACCAGTTAAGGCTTGTGGGGATTTGGCCTATCATGTTAACCATAGAGGTTGGGTTTCCTTGTTATTCTCCTCCTCAATGTTCTTTGAGATTTGCTTGCTTTTCTTGTATGTGCACAGAACACTGCCCTTTATGTTTGCAGTTTTAATATCAAAGAAGTGGATTTCAGATAATAGGACCAAGGAACCAGAAGAACCAAGGGAGTCTTTTTCACAAGTAAAGAGGCGACGGATGCTACAATTTGACACTCAAGCTACTGATCCTTCCCTCTCATGTGACGAGTTGTCATCTTCATTCCTGAAATCAAATGTCTGTTCTGAGTATCTCTTTTCTTGTCTAAATTATAACATATGTAAGGCATGTTGTATTGTTCATTGGCTGCGTGCCAAACTACTCTTGAACTTGTCATCTGGATCAGTTAGTGCATATTTTCCTCTATCCCAATGCTACTACTGTATTGCGATAGTGATATGGTTGTTCATTAGAAAAAGGACTGTTGCATCATATCTGCCATTCATTTGTGGTACATATGTCAAATTGGTGTGCTACATATGTTATTTCTTATGCCAGACTGGAGTACCAATGTTGATGGGACTACAGTTTCTCTGGTAGTCTAGGTATGGGTTGTACTTTGATAAGGGACTTTCAAGTTGTATGCCTTGGAAGTCAAAAGTAGGAACTTGAGTTCCTTGGAGACAAGATTTCAGTACATAAACAGCATATTTCATGTTCCATGGATTTTTCTTGGACTTATTTTTCTGCTCTATATTTAGGAGAGGGCTGATTCAATTGAAGAGGCGTTATCTGAAGCATCACAATGGGTATCGGGGTTTTCAGGTTTGTCTCTTCTAGAATATGTTTTGCCATATTTACTTGAACATTCATTCCCAGGGGTTTTCTGATGACAATATTATTTGTGTTAGAAAATGCGTCTGCATCTGGCTATGAGTGCCTTGAGCAGTCACCTGATGAGTGGATTGCCGAATGCTTCAATGATACCGAGATGCATTTCAGCCCTGATGATTTGTATGCCTCTGGAAGCTCTATATGTATCTTTTAAAATTCAATCAGTCGTTTACAATAATATGATTGCTTTATTATTTCATACTCAGGAATTTCTCTGGGGCTTCTGATGTTCAAATTGACATTGCAAGTACGTTACATTGGTTCTTCTCATGAAATTTGTATTTTTGCATTTGTTTCCCTTTTATCCTTACCCTTCAATTAAGTGTATAAGTCAATTTTCTGTTACAGAGTTATGTGACGTCCGACCTGAGCATGAAGCAAATGTGATTCAACAGCGAGTCACCCGAACACCTCGAAATGTTGTTTTTAAAGGTACTTCCATGTTCTTGACTTATCTTCCTATATTGAATATGTACTCAAACAATCAGCTCCCCAACCTCTCTCAAAGTTGTCCCACGACTATATGGCAACTTCTTGTTGAGGTAACTCAAATACAATAAAGAAGCCATGGATAATGTTAAAAGTCAAGAGATATTAAAGATGCTCTCTCTCCCTCTTTCTCTCTCTAACCAAATTTTATACCTGCTACTAATTCTTCTTCTGCTTATGGTAAATCAAAAGGTAATCTCTCACATTCTGCTAGGGAAGAAATGATAAAAATGATAAACCCTATAGGCAGACACCACAAATTCCATCCCCAAAAACCGTATTTTGATTGCACCTCAACTATATCAATTATACTTGAACTGTTAGATAATCTCTCTCTCTCTCTCTCCATACCAAAAAAGAAGAAGGATTCTTCTGCTGTATGTAATCTAGAGGTTATATTGTACTCAGGTACACCAGGATTCCTTGCCTGGATCATTATAAATTATGCTATGAAATTATTGAAATAAAAACTTAGTACTCGAGGCTCTCTGTTTCTGTGCATAGGTAGGAAGTCTTACATTCGGACTCCCACTAAGTTAGCTACTTCTGTGGCATATCCATTTGCCTTCATTAAACCCTCTGGGGCTCATGGAGATGTAACTCTGAAGGACATAAACCAGCGGATCCGCACTCCACCGCCTTCAAAATCAAAGCAAAAATATGAAGACCCTGCTGCTTACCCCACTTCGGCCTTTTCAGGGAAGCCTGTCGTTGGAAAAACTAAAATTCGCACTGAAGGTGGGAAAGGCAGCATCACAATAATGAGAACCAAAGGCTAAGAGTTAGTAGATAAGTGTTACTTGAAACTTCCCATTTTGCGGCCCTTCTGCTTTGCCCGCTATTTTTCGGGATGAATTTTTCCTGTAATATTCTAGGGCAGTCAGGTACAGAAGTTAATCTTTATTTCTTCTTTTGGAGTTGTTTTCGGAAATCATAAATCACAGTGAAGTGTTTATGTGTCCGAGTTAATATTCTAGGTGTCATATAGTAGCAGTTCTATACATTGTATGACTGAGAATCTCAAAGTCTACTAGGTACTCTTGTATTTTGGTTTCTCAAAAACCTTGGTAATGCTTTCAGGAATTCCATGATATGCAAAACTTGTGTATTTGAATCTTATGTCTGAAAGGTGTATTTAAGATGAAATGTAAAATGCAGACTTTATCTCGTTTTGCTTGTGTTAGAGTTATCATTTCTTCTGAGCCTTTCTTTTTTGTTTGAACATATAACTAGACTAACTTCATAGCCCTTGCCTTAAACACTTGCTTTTTAGCCAGGGCTTCTCTCATGGATGGGATTTTGTAAGATTATATTTAATTATGTATAAAACTTTCAAGTTGATACAGAATACAATGTGCTTGTGAGACCTAGAGAGAGCCTACTGTGACCTTGCATCCAAACATTGTTCCTTGGGAATGAAAACAAAGTTAGAGCATGCTTGCTTGTGGCAGGCTTTAAGGGGAAGGGGAAAAGCAAACCATTGCTGAAAGTAGACATCCACACTGTATTCTGCATCAGCCTTACATGTTTCCACTTTCAATTGTATGGGTTAAAAAGTTTTATAAAGCAAAAAATTAGAAGAAAAAAGTTTAGAGTGAATTTTTTTTTAGTATAAGCAACAGTCTAAACCACAAGGAAAGGGGGAATTCTCACACACACAGTACCAAGATGTCATAAGAGCATTTCCAAGGGAGATGTCAAATACCAAACATCAAATTTAAATTTGATGGCTGATGTGGCAATTTGACATCTTACACATGACAATTGGACATCTTACACAGCTTTACACTCCACCCGATATGTCAAATTAAATTATTATTTTATTACATTTTAGTGTTGATTTATTTTTAATTAAAAAGAATAGAAAAGAAAAAATAATAAAATATTCATTTGACATCTTGCTTTTGGGATGCCAAAAATAACATCTCAATCTTCAGCCTTCATTCCACATCAGCTTTGACACATCCGTTGGAGTGTGTGAGATGTTATTACTTGCTGTTAAATGTCTATGTGGCACTTTTGACATATCGGTTGGAGATGCTCTAAGGATCCGAACCTAAAACCTTTCATTTGCAAGTCATGTTTCTTTTTCATTGGGTTAGACCCCCGTTGGCAAGTTCAGAGTGAATTAGACTGTGTTACCTTTACAAATTAATTAGCCAAAAGTTAAGCTTGGGAATATTTGGAAATGACAGTGGCATTTGGCCTAACCCTACCTATCGTGGCCTAACATTGACAGTGCAATAAGTGCGTTGATCCGAGTGGTCAAGATTAAAAATGTTCAGTCCATGGACGTGATTATAATATCACTAAACAATCACCTTTAGATCTGGTTTGGAATCTAAGGCATGCATCTAAGATCCACCTCAAGCTCATTGATCCTGGCATATGTTTTTATAATCCACTCATGACAGATTAATCAATGGTAACAAATTTCACTAATTAGTAATTCCCCTTAATTGTATTCATTTTATGGCATGTTTACTAATTTGTAATTGGATTAGGGGAATTGAATTGAGGAGGAAATTGATTGAGGATAATTAGATTCCGAATTCCTATTGAAGTTGTTTACTAAATCATATGGATTGAACGGAGTTAGATTCCATATTCCTATTGAAGTTGTTAGTTGTTTACTAAACCATATGGAATTGGGGTAGGAGAAGTTCTAAGTACTCAAATGTCCTCATTATTAGGTTAAAGTAGATGATAAATTTGAAATTTTGAATATTGTGTGAGGATATAATGGGTAAAAAAAATGAATTCATAATGGGTTTATTCTCCAAGAATTAGAATACCACCTCCCACTTAGAAATTGAATTCCTCCAAAATCAGGAATTCAATTCCTAATTTTGTGTGGGCCCCACTTACTTTTCAATTCCTTGATGTGAAGTAAACGCAGGAATCCTCCATATGCAGAATTCAATTCCTAATGAGAATTCCATTAGTCTCTAAACTTTTAACAAATATAGTTACGTATGCGAGTCATATATTTTAGCGAATAACAATCGACATCAACTAATTATTGTTATTCGAAAAATATACGACTCGCATATAAATCAATTTTGAATTTTTTAAAATTAAAAATCAAAATCAAAATTTTTTAAAAAGTTAGAGCTGTTCAATTAGAAGTTGGCTAGACTGGGCTAACCCACCCAACCCCACTATAATAACAATTTGTTAAGTTTAATTTGTAGCCCATAGATCTTAACCCACCTTAATGTAATGCCTCCAAGGCCCAGCCCCTAAGTCCTCATGAGATAGATAATACCTTTCTTATTGATGATTAATGTCACAGTTTTTAATTAGTTAAAACTCAAAGAAAAAAAACCAAGGTGGTTGGTGTGAGTGGTTCGGCACTCTCATTACTTTTGCCTAGACCTAAAAACTAATGACAACATTTTATATTTCAGTGATTGATTGATTGACAAAAAATACAAAGAAAAGAGAACTAGATAAACGAGTGAAATCCAATCAGACAAGTAAAATTTGTGAATGAGACGATAAACTAACATGTTGAGTTTAGTTTAAACATAATCCCGCACGACATGAAAATGAAATGACCAAACATGTTAAAATATAAGACATTACGTTGGTCAACTTTGGCTTCATTTGTAACAAAAAAGAAAAAGGAAATTCAGGGAAAATAGATTATATCCATATTGAAACTATTTTTTTTCTCTTCATGATTTATGGAATTGGAGTATTTCTTGAAGAGGGGGGCTTAATAGGGGTCCCTCCAATTTTGTCATTGTAGGACGTTTTAGAACTCGCGTGCGTATATATTATCAGAGAACGGAGGACGGGAACGTAGGACAACTGGACAGAGAAAAGCAGGCCCAGAAGAAAAGCAACTGTTCACATAAACCACTTTTGGCTCCCAAAGACAGATTTCTTCTCTACGTCAGCATCATAAATATTCCCTTCCTTCGTTATCTGCAACTCTTTATATTTGTTTTCCGATGGAGAAGAACAATAAGCCATAAAGTAAAAGCCATTTGTTCTTCCCATAAGAAATGGCATCTTCTTCGTCCTCGTATGTTCCTGCACTTGCTGCAATAACATGTTTGGTTGTGATGGTGTTGGGTTGCTGTTGGCCCGTTGAGGCCCGAATCCCCACCACTTTGGACGGTCCGTTCGAGCCTGCCACCGTTCCGTTCGATCAAAGTTTGCGTGGCAACGCCGTCGATTTGCCCGAGTTCGATCACCGAGTCCGCCGCCGAGTTAAAGGCTTCGAGCCTGAGCAGATTTCTGTTTCGCTTTCAGCCAATTACGACTCTGTTTGGATCTCCTGGGTTACAGGTTTTGATTTTGTTTTGTTTTATTTATTATTTATTTTGTGCTTGGGTTTACAGCTGTAAGCTTTAAGCTTGATCGTAAATGGAATTTCTTGGCTTTGCAATTGAAAAGTTTTGATTTTTGATTTTTGGCCAATTGGGTTGTTCATGAATTTTTGTTGCAGGGGAATCGCAAATTGGCTACAACATAAAGCCATTGGACCCCAAAAGTGTGGCAAGTGTTGTTCGTTATGGGAAGCTGAGATATCCACCAACACATGAAGCAACAGGATATTCTCTTGTTTACAATCAGCTCTACCCTTTTGAAGGCCTCCAAAATTACACTTCTGGGATCATCCACCATGTTCGTCTTACAGGTTTCATTTCGATTTTCTTCTTTTGCTTTTAAGTTTTAATGCACAGTTACAAAGTTGGGTTCTTTCAACTTTGGCTGAATGAACTTTTAACTGCCTCAAACGTAAGTTGTGATGAAAAATGATTGTACTGCTGATATATCAAACATCTATGACCATGTTGTTTTATGACCTCATCAAGTTGTGCTTCTTCTAGTAAGTTGGTGATTTACTTTCTGATTCTGTGTAGGGTTGAAACCGAATACATTGTATTTTTATCGATGTGGAGATCCTTCTATACCGGCCATGAGCGAAATCTACCATTTCAGGACCATGCCAGTTTCTGGTCCGCGGAGCTACCCAGAGAGAATAGCAGTTGTGGGGGACCTTGGCCTGACTTACAACACAACTACCACAATTAGTCACTTGACTAGTAACGATCCTGATCTTGTTCTATTGATTGGTGATGTTACTTATGCAAACCTATACCTCACAAATGGAACTGGTTCTGACTGCTATTCTTGCTCATTTCCACACTCTCCGATACAGGAGACCTATCAGCCTCGATGGGATTACTGGGGCAGGTAAAATATAAGTTTCTTTGTCTCCACCACATGCAATGACTTCCGTAAAGTATGACTGATGGAACTTGTTTTCTTATGTTGCCAACTTGCCATTGCTGGGTAATTTGTGTAGGTTTATGGAGAATTTAATTTCTAAAGTTCCAATAATGGTGATAGAAGGGAACCATGAAATAGAAGAACAGGCTGAAAATAAGACATTTGTGGCTTATAGTTCTCGGTTTGCATTCCCATCTGAAGAAAGTGGATCTTCATCCACATTCTACTACTCCTTTAATGCAGGGGGGATTCATTTTATTATGCTTGGAGCCTACATTGACTTTACAAGATCGGGTAATAAAAGTCTGCATAACTTTTTAGCTCATGCTTTGCCTAAATATCCCCATTTTTGCATTTTCTTTTTTCTTTCCTCCCCCACCCAAACAGTGATTACTTAACATGTTTTTTTCCCCTTACAGGGAAACAATACAAGTGGCTGGAGCAAGATTTGGCTAATGTGGACAGATCCACTACTCCATGGCTGGTAGCTACTTGGCATCCACCCTGGTATAGTACTTATGAGGCCCATTACAGAGAGGCAGAATGTATGAGGTTGGAAATGGAAGAGTTGCTCTACTCTTATGGAGTTGATATAGTGTTCAATGGACATGTAAGTAATGATAAACGATGATTAGGATAGTCTCTGATATCAGGTAATATGTTTCTTTCTAATAGTCAGACACCATATGAAGAAGTGGAAAGGGGCCCTTTGATTGGGGTTTTCTTGTATGCCAGATAGTGATAGAAACAACTGCATTTTAATTTTTTTACTTTCGAGGAAACAAAGTATAACGTGAAGTCAATTGATACTAGATTCCAGTGCAGCTAAAACATGCAAGAACTTATTTTACATGCTGTCAGAAGCAAATAATTGCTGATGCCTTACATGACGAAGTGGAACTCTGCCATTTCTTTTTGGTACCTTGAGCTAATGATATTATCTTGAACCTAGTTTCACCACAGCAGCATTTGTTTCCCATCCCCTGCATGTTTTCATTAAGATTTTCATTGCTTTCTAAGACTAATGAATTCATGTTCCCCAGTTTAACCAAATATCTGTGTGTTTCAAAGTGCACTGAATGTAGTTCTGTGTTTTGAATACAATAATAGGTTCATGCCTATGAGAGGTCAAATCGTGTATATAATTACAACTTAGATCCCTGTGGCCCTGTATATCTCACTGTTGGTGATGGGGGTAATCGGGAGAAGATGGCAGTTAAATATGCTGATGAACCTGGTAATTGCCCAGAGCCATCAACTACTCCTGATGAATACATAGGTGGCATTTGTGCAAAAAACTTTACCTCCGGCCCCGCCGCAGGTAAATTTTGTTGGGATCGGCAACCGGATTACAGTGCCTTCAGAGAAAGCAGCTTTGGTCATGGGATCCTTGAGGTACTCTTTTTTCTCTGTCTCTCAGTTTGAGAATTGTCCAAGTACGTTCAATTTTGCTATAAATGCTTTGCTTTAATTTCTATGACCCTGCATATACTACAACTTGAAAAATTATTGATGGAAATATGAGTATGTGCTTGAAACTTTGAAAGTCTATGTGCATATAAATACCATTCTCAGTAACCAATGACCATACAAGATTTCTTCACTCAGTAATAGGTAATCTTAGTGACTAGAATATCCTTGATCCTGTCCGTGACTAGAATATCCTTGACCCTATCAGTGACTAGAATAATATCCTTGATGGGTTTTGTGTTACAAACATACAGCTCAGTTTCACCATCTGAATTATAATCTAACCATGGATTTCAACCTGCATAACTTGCAGGTGAAGAATGAGACCTGGGCTCTATGGACATGGTACCGGAACCAGGACGCCAACAGCAAAGTGGGTGATCAAATTTATATAGTGAGGCAACCTGATAAATGCCATGTCCGCCAGGTGTTAAAGAGTTGGGTTGTTGACATTTAGTTTGTACTGCTGCCCTGCTGGGAAATTGACTCTGGTTTTCTTATGTCTTTAAACCAATTGACCATATCTAGTTAGGAATAGGAAAGGACTTTCTGAGATAGGTGCAAAAAGAGTGGGATGGCATTTCCTGTATGCATTTGTATGTAAAGGAAAAGCAGAAGAAGATGAACTCAACCGTTGTTTTATGTAAAATCATAAATCTCATTTTATACATCTCAATTGTATTCTGATAAACTTAAAAACAAATATGTGAGATTGATACATATGGTTCTGGTAAAAATTTATGCTAGTAATGATTCAATTAAACCATCATCTGTGCTCTGACCAAAATTAATGTAATTGACTATTGGTTAAATTAAACCCCACAATTCCTTTCTCGAGTACAAACGATAGTCTAAACTATATGAGAGGAAGGTTTCTCACACACACACAACCAAGATGTCATGGGAGTTCGAACTTGAGACTTACAGTCTGCAAGTGAAGGCCAAGTCAATCTGCAAGTGAAGGCCAAGTCAATGACCTTTTCCAATGGGTAGACCCGTTGGCAAACCCCGCAATTCTTTACCTCCTTGCTCTGTTGCAAATGATAGAATATGCTGCTTAGAAAATAAATAAGATCACAAAACCAGCAAAATCTTCACTTTCCGTAATATTTGTTTTGGATAGCTTGATAAATGTGGTAACTTGGGATATGTTATCATGGTTAGGTTAATCCAAATTCCAATTTCTAGCAATTAAGCACCAAATGAGCTCCACCCAAATCCAAGGTTATCATAAATTATGTACAGAAAAGAGCCCAGAAAGAAGGCATTCATTCATTCACTGGAAGTCTGAAACTATTGATACATCAAGTAAAAACTTTAAACCAAATATACAAAAACCAAAAATAAATAAAATTGTTTCTAATAACTCCAATTAAGAAACAAAGCGGTGGAGTGAAACAGAGAGAAGTTCAAAGTTGTACACTAATTAAAAATGACTTCTTTCAGCAACAATCAAATTTGCTCGCGGTAAATTTTTTGTTTCTTCTTCAGAAAATGTCGAGAATTTCCAAGATGAAATTGTTGCAGAGGGGGCAATTGCCCCTCTGCACCCAGAGCTCTCTGGAGCACATCCTGCAAAACGTGTGACCGCAGGGGATAAATGCCGCACCTTTATGCCTCACCATGCACACGCAGCAATTATACTCTACGTTCCCTACTTCCTCCTGTTCCTCCTCCTCTTCTTCTTCCTCCTCGAACTCTTCTTCATCCTCGTCATCCATGGTGTAACTCGACTCCAGCCCCATCTGCCTGTCCGTCTCCTCCAACAGGTCCATCAACGACATCCTCACCGGCTCCGCCTCCGTTGTCGTAGCCGCTGCACCCCCGTCCGCCGACGGCACGTCGTTTTGCGCCGCCCCATGCGTCGCTTCCGCCTCTTCGGCCGACGCCGCTGCGGCTGCGGCCTCAGCGGCCACTTGCGCCGCAACCGCTTCTCTTGCCGACAGCGACCTCTCCTCCTCCAGCGCTGCCGACAACCGTCGCCGGGGCGAGTCGGTCGCTATCTCGTCGGCCGTGAACCGCACGGAACTCCGACGAGAGAACATCGGCGCCCGTTCGTTCTGACCCGGACTATCCGAGTCGGGCTCGTCGGAAGGGATCGACGCGTTCGGGCCGAACCGGGTCGAGTTCCGGCGCGACATCTGCCGCATTCCCGCGGAATTGCTCTCGTCTCCTTGCTGAACCATGTCGAGATTTGTCTCGGGCGTAACGAATCTCACTGAGCTGCGACGCGATCTCAGGTGAAGGTGAAGATGTTGGTGATTGGAACCGTGAACAGTGTTATTCCGGATAGGGAGATCCGAAGTGGGGACACGGACGGAGGAGGCCCAAGCAGAGCCGGCGCGTTTTAGGCGGAGGCGGTCTTTAAACGACTTCCAGGCTTTCTTATCCTTCTTGCCAATCAGGGCCCGGTAGGACTTGGGCTCCTCGTCTCGGATTATATCGAGCAAAGTCCGACCGGAGATGGTTGGGGGAAGGGCAGGAGCTGTAGGTGGCTGTTTGGCTGCAGGGGCCAGCAACACGTCGTCCAGGCTTAAACCAGCTAAGTCTCTCCCGTTCCCACTTGCTGACATCTGATCGAGAAGCGTTAGCCTCCGGCGACCTTCCATGACAGCAAAAACAAATACAGACAAAAGAAAATGATGAATTTCTATTGGAGGATTGTGAGGATTTCAAGGATCCGAACCATCCTTTTGTTTTGCTTGGTTTATGTGATTTTAGATTTCTTGGAAATGTGAAACTGCTACTAAAATGGATCTATCATTCTTTATGACTCTAATTCTTTTATGTTGACATATACCCCTTTTCTGAGGGCATTTAAGCAACAACAAAAATACATTAAAATTTTGTGAATAAGTTATTGTTGGTCTATGTAATTTAATTTTTGGAAATTTTATTCTTGTAGTTTGATTGTATCGCAATTCAATGATACATCTAAATTTTCATTCAAAATTCTTCGGACAAATCTTTAAATTGTAATGGATATCAAACTACAAGGATCAAATCACCATAATTAAAACCTCATAGACAAAATGTAACTTTTGCGTTTTCCTTTTTTTGATGATGAAGAAAATTTACCGAGTATAGTGTATTAAGATAAATCTTGAATACTGTAAATAATCAATCAATTACATAAGATGGTTGTGGGATTGATGCAAGATGTAAGTGTATGTCGACTCATACTTATATTCAAATGTAAAACGTTTGAGTTTACAATTACATTGAGTTCTGATAATTTGAGGGAGGAACTAAAAATGGCATGGGATACCTTACGTCCCGTGACCGTTGGTACCGTCAGAAACGATGACCCCGCCAGCTTTCAATTATTTTATTTTTATCTCTCCTCTGTTAAAAAAAAAAGGAAGAAAAGTTGATTACCTCAGCTCGAGAGAGAGAAAGAAACATTCGAACATGCAAGTGAATATGATGAGGGAAAGCAGCAAAGGATAAAAGAACAGTAATTACATTAAAAAACAAAAATTAAGAAAAGAAGAAAAGATAAGATAAGAGAGAGAGAGAGAACATGGCACGCACCAAAAGGCAAAAGCTAGTAGATGGATCGGAAAATTGGCAATGGTGGTGGGTCTGTCTGTTTGTTTGTTTCTTTTAAGCCCAGTTAGTTGTATGGTTGGTGGTCGATGGATCTCTGTGTGTGTTCTTTTTGTTTGGTTTTTGTATTTTCCGATTTTAGCTCTCAAATTGTAGGGGGAAAAGAAGAGGAAGGTTGTTTTTTTTGGCTGTTTTGGCAGCGGAACGAGTCTTATGGGAAGCAATAAGGTCCCCTTGCTTCCCCCTTATTTGCGGGAACATATTGTTATATACTTCAATTGCATGCTCACCGTATATTGTACACTTACCCGAACGTCTCACGTGAAGAGAGATATAAAGAGCAGATGTATATATATATATATATATATATATATGATGTGAATTATAATTTGATGGTAAAAAAGAAAGAACAAAGTGACGTCTTTCGGAAGATTGAAGATATTTTTATGGATTAAGGTTTTCTTTTGCTTTTTATGATTGGTTAAAGTTGATGAAATGGCATTTGGATGTCTAATGTAAAATTTGCATAAACACCAACTTTTTTTCATTTGGGTTGGAACAAAAACAGACAAAGGGGAAAAAAGAGAACAGAAAAGTCAAAAGAGAGACTAGGACTTGAGCGCTGCATGTGTTGGAACATTAACTAAGGTGTAAGGACAACATAGACTAGCCTTTCACTTTTTGTTCATATGTGATAAGTGGTGAAGGTGGGATGCTTTGTTAAAGTATAATATAAATTGCATACACCCTAAATTAACATTTTTTATTCATTATTAGCCTCTTGGTACACGCTCACGCATGTGTCAATTGATTTTCTTTTTTTTATTTTTTTATTTTTAGAATTAAGAAAAGATAACATGGCTAGTTATGTTTCATAAAAATAGGACCTATTATATGATTTTATTTTTTTTAAATATTTAAAAATGTGAATTTACCATATTATCCTCATTTAACTAATAATTTCAATTCTTAATGTTTGAATTAACCAATGACATTTTTTGGTATTTTGAATGTTTCACTATCCTCTGCCTTTTGCCCAAGAGATTTTTTCTCGTGACAATGACGTGGATTTATAAGTTGGGGGATGATTTTGGCGTTTCAAAATTACCTTTAAATTACCTTATATATTTCTCATATTATGTTCTTCTTGCAAAAGAGCGTAAAAAGTGAAACTTGGACCGTCGATGATCTTCTCTTTTTTTAAAACAAAAAATAATTAATGCTACTAATCTAATACGGTTGTTTGGAAGTTTTAGGTGGGAATTTGTTTCGAAGGTGAGAGTGGGTTGAGGTTGTAATATTGTTATGAATTAAGAGATAACGACTACCAAGTTACAAACAAAACAGAATTATTAGTTCCACCCGCCCATCACCTCATGAACACAAATAATGTCTAAACAGAATTAAAAGAAGACTTTCAGCCATCTTAATCTATAGGATGCAAATATACATTTTTAATATAGGTAGGTTGATATTTAATTTCTCTTTATCTGCAATTGATGACTTCACATGGGTGAGCAGTGACCACTACTGCTTTAAATACTCAGTCACTATATAAAAGAATGAAAATTAAAGACATGGCCTACCAACATCATTTTCCTTCTTGAAAGGAGGACTAATAAAAGAAAAAAGAGAGAGAGAAAGATGATAGTGTTGATGAGAGAGGGAGAAGTAGCCGGAGTGGGAAGAAAGGGAACCACCGAAGTCGGGAGAAGAAAGCCGCCGGTAGGGCGGCAAGATGGAAGGGGTGATGGTGGGAGAAGCTAACATTGTAACATCTCACATCGACTAACGAAGAGGGGGTGATGTGCCTTATATGTATATGCCCACCTCCATCTAGAACGAGGCCTTTTGGGAGCTCACTGGCTTCAGATTTCATGGGAACTCTGAAGTTAAGTGAGTTTGGGCTAGAGCAATCCCAGGATGGGTGACCCACTAGGAAGTTGCTCGTGAGTTCCCAGAAACAAAACCGTGAGAGCAGGGGGGCCCAAAGCGGACAAAATCGTGCTACGGCAGAGCGATCCGGGATGTGACAAACATATATTTTATAGTTCATGTTATTAAAGCACATTTTATATTTTAAATAAAAGTAAATGGGCGAAGAAAGAATCGAACACGCAATCTCAAGTGCAAGAGTGCATGTTATTGGATTGAAGTAAGAGGAAATTGAACATACAACTTCACATACAAAGACGAATGCTCACAACCACTTCAACTATAAGCCCTTACACTCGTAAAAATATTTTAAATCATAAATGTACCAATCTTACTTTTGGGTTCATGTAGGATTTCTCAAATGAAATAAAAAGTAAGTTCAAATTGAAAGTTGATCTGGCCTGCCTTGTAGGTCATCATGTGAGGCCCATAAAAATGCAGCCCAAATAAAAATTGCCAAGAAAAAGAAAAGAAGAAAAGAAATGCCAGATAAGCACTCTACTAAAAAATTTAATTTATTGTGGAAATTAGAAAAACCGCGGCTTCTCGAGACTTCCATAGATTGTTTGGTTCGCAACAGCTCGTCCTTTTAAGTCATCAGCTCTCCTCGTACGCGACGTCAAACCAAGGCTTCTTCAGTCTCTCGCTGTCTTCGAGCTCAGCGCATAGATCAGGTTTTTTCAAAATTTCCATTTCTTTGATCTTTCTCGTCTCGAAATCTCTGGTTTTGATTCAACGAAATCGCTTATTGATCGTTGCTTGCTTTGACTGTGTGAAGTTGCAGGGGTTTATTGTGTTTGTGATCTTGTTTGGCTGTTTCAGCTTCACTCGCACAATTCAATAATGTCCCATATCCTTGCAATTCGGATCTGTTTTTTCCCTGTATTAATTTTTCTCAGTCTTAACTATTTTGCCTTGTTAGGTTGCCGAGAAACGCGATGAAAATCACCAAAGATCAGATCTTTTGCTCTGGATCTCTGATTTTTGTTGTTAAAGTATTGAAATTGATGTTTTGAAGCGCGTTTTCTCGGCAACCAAACGAGTTATTGTGTAAATTAGATCAATGTTTGAGAGGGGAAGAAGAGAGTGGTTTTATTTGTGATGCTTGTATGTTTGTTTGGCTTAACTGAAGCGAACGCGGAAGCCAGAGAGAGCAAGACCGTGAAAGGGCTCAGGCCAGGTCTGGCGGGAAATCCAAGCAGCCCAAAAACGATGGATTAACCCCCGAACAACGCCGCCAAAGGTATGAATTCTCTCAATCTCAAGCCTTTCATTTTCAATTCCCTTGTTTGTGATTCAACTCTGAATTGGGGTGTTTTTCAATTTTTTGCTAAATTTCTGTTTAGGGACGCCAAAGCGGTGCAAGAAAAGGCGGCAAAGAAGGCTGCTCAGGCGGGAGGGGTCAGCGGCGGTAAAAATTGACTTGGGTTGAAGATTAGGGTTTAGATGAAATGGGAGTGTGTAATGTAATTGTGTGGTTAGCAATCTAATTGAATATTGAGTCCGTTTGAGTCTTTGAGAATATTGAGATGAACAATCTAATTGAAAGTGTTTGTCTTGGTTGGCATATTGGCATTGTGCTGTGTATTGTTCGATTCTGAAAGCTTTCAACTTTATGCCTGGTAATCTAGCAATTGACTGTTTATGTGATATGCAATTTACTGGTAATCTTTCTAGCATCAATCAAGAATCTCAATCTCGCTTTCTTACTCAGTCACAACCACACAAATTCATGGTCCCCATATCTAAATTAGATATCACACCACTTGTCTGCCCGCATCTCCCACCAAACCAATGTAGATTGCTGTGCAGATAAACCCTTGAGGATTTCTCCTCATGTCATGTCATCTTGGTAAGTGCACTCTTGGAAATGCAATACTTGAGTCGTGCACTCTTGGAAATGCAATACATGAGTCGGGAGTATGAACTTCCCATGTTGGGGGGAATTTCTTACCCTTGGCAATTTTTTTCCCCCAGTTGGAAAAACATTTAATACACTTTTTTAAAACTAAATTATCCATATTCGAAATTTTTAAATGCCAGTTTTCGTTAGTAGTTTTAAATAAAAAAATAAAGGGTATTTTTAGATTCCTAATACTTCACAACCAAATGTAAGAGCAACTCCACCTATTTGTCATGGTAAAGGCCCCCGGGGGGGGTGGGGGGGGAGACTAGGGCAAATACTATTCACATGAATAGTGGCTGTCCTTGCAAAAAGCAATGTGTGTTTCCACCCGTTGTCATGGTAACTACTATTCACATGAGATATGAGGAGAAGAATTTGTATAGAGTTTTGGTGCAGGGAAGTGAAAAATATGACTAAGTATTTATTTTAAATTTTTTAAATTTTTTTTGGTTGCTGATGTCATTGTCATCATCGCTGACGTCAGCAAACCCAGGCTATTGCAAGGGTTGGTTTTGCCTGAGGGCCAGCCTAGGCTTGTGGAGCCCACACCCAGCCTGGGCCAAAAAGGCCCACTGGAACCTCCTTTTCTTCTTGGGCCCCCCTCTTGCCCTAGCATTGGCGCACCTTTGGAAGTGCTCTAAGAATGAGAGAAAGGGACATTTCTTGGACCTTATTTCTCAGCAATCTTCTAAATATGAAAATGAACATCTTCCATTCCATCTCGTGTGATTAAACATGGGAATTTCATTCACAAGAAACTCATTACGCACATCAAATGGGGCTTTAGGGTCTTAAGGAAAGTATTAACACAAATAACACTAAAGCTATGGTGTAATTTGGGCATGTCTACATTTTGAAAGTATTATACATTGACATGAGACGCACAATTAATATACCATACATCTAACTTGCTGAAGGAAACAGAGAAATGTGAATTTTAGCCAAAATAAATAAAAATAATTAATGACACATTAATAATTGGTGAGGAGATATGACAATTTATATGAGTGTAATTCTCATGATTCTATTAAATTAATCAATAGACGTGTAATTAAGCTGAGAAGCATGAAAAGCTTACCAAAGGCAATTAAGTAATCAACTTCCTATCCTATAAAAAGCTTACCAAAGGCAATTAAGCTGAGAAGCATGAAAAGTTGCAGCTTATCAGATAACTATATTGTTGATGCTAAAAAATGGTTCAGCACTTTTTAGCCCAATTTAGAGATGAGGTATGATGGATGATGGGTGAAGGTGAGGACCATCACCAAGTGTGTGAAGATTTGGGCAAGCGATAAATATACAGAAGACAAAATATACGTGGTTCACCCTTAATAAATGGACTACGTCCACGGAGAAGTATATTCTCATTATTATGTGTATTTACATTTGTACAAGGGGCTGGGCCCAAATATAAAGGTGAGAAGTGAGAAGTGAGAAGTGAGAAGCCCATGACTAAAGATAAAGCCCAGTTTGGGGATCCCTCCCTAAGTGGAGAGTGGTCTCCTTTTATAGGTGAGAGAGAGTCTTCACTTCTTGCAATATTTCAATGTGGGACTTTTGCCTTGTTTAGAGTTGCTTCTAGTTGCTTGGTCAAATATGGTATAAACATATATAAAAAGCTTATTAAGAACAGAAAAGCAAACACACAAGAGGTACCATCTATTTTGGCATACTATTATGTTCCAAATCCACAACCAGTTTGTAGAACATCTCTGAAACAATTCCTCAATGTTCAAACAACAAGCAGAGCTTCCATGGCCACCTTCTTATGTCTCTTCTGCAGCTTGGCATCCATACCAGCAACAAATCTAACCCTGCGGGCTTTCAGGTTCCAGCCTTGCTCTCTCATAGTAGATATTAGCACATTCAACTATGCTAGGTTGTTAACGATGACGGGACGTGTTGATTCCAGTATATATAGCCGGGTTTAGCCGCCCGGCTATACTATTTATAAATAAAGGGCCCGAATAGCGTTTAGGCGGCCCTGTGTCAAAATCAGTATGGCCGACCCTCTATACTAATTTTGTAGAAACATGCAGAGTGTCGCCGCGCGGCTATACTAATTTTAAAAAAGGAGTACCCGAATAGCGTTTAGGCGGCCAAGTGTCAAAAGCAGTATAGCCGAACAGCTATACGATTTAAAAATAAAAAATAAAAAACCGAGTATCGCCGATCGGCTATACTATTTATTAAAAATAAAAAAAGGACCCGCTCAGCTGCGTGTCAAAATAAGTATAGGCGCGCAACTATACTATTCTTTAAAAAAAATTAAAACCTAGTATAGCCACGCGGCTCTATGATTTTAAGAAACATTAATAATACCGAGTATAGGCGTCCGGCTATACGATTTTTTAAGAAACATTAATATCGATGACTGGACGTGCTGATTCCAGTGCAGCTTTAAGATTTCTCTCTGCTATTCCAAAGCGAGTCAAGGTATTCCTCTCAGCTGCAAGCAATTCTACATATTTCACAAAATAAGGGTCAGTCTCCAAATGCAGGCCCTCTGCTGACTTACTCAACCACAATGAGTCATCCAGCCCTCTGTCTCAACCCACCGGATCCCAATCAGGTTTCCTCAACTTCAGTTGAATCACTGCCTGCATCTCTAACCAAAAGGGTCATCATGAATCTTCTGATCTCTCTACTACTCTCGTGAGACATTAAATTCGAACGTGACACATAGAGATCACCTCGCAACTTACGAACTTCATCTTTGTACTGCAACAAATTTGCTAAAGACATTGTGTCTGAAAGTAAAGAAATCCGACGAACAATGTAATTTCCAAAACAATTGATATCTGGGTAATAAAAAGGTGCTTTCTATTCAGTGCAAAAGCCAGTGCTTACCTTGTCTTGGACAAGTCGAGAGGTTGTCTGGTAATCACCCTCATTTTTCACTTTCTTACCTTGTCTTGAACAAAATTTGCATCCTTTATTTCTTTCCCTTTCGCTTATTGTTATCATGGTTATTTCATTTATGCTTTTCCTAGTAGTCTATTGTTTCTTTTCACTGAGTATAATTTGAATAACTGAGTTTGATATTGCTTTTGGTGGTTATGTAACTTAGTTATAGCGTAAGATAAGGAGAAAAATGATGTCCCTTCATCGACGATGAAGATGAGTGAGCTAAGTTTTTAATTTTCATTTCTTTTCACGAGCATGTGTCAAAATTTTTAGTTTACGTAACATGAAATGAGTGTAGTTGTTTAATTTCACATGCTTATAATAGAATGAAGATGGGTTTGTCTAACAATTTGTGATCCAATGCAAGAATCAACAATGTGTTTCACTGGAGGGTAAGTTACTTTTTTAAAAAATAAAAAATCATTTGGCATTTTCATCAATCGGCATGCATGTCACAAGAACTTTTACTCAAGTGACATGTTCAAAATATCGTCGTTTGTTCACACCAAGGCCCCTGATGAGTACAAAATTAATACAAGTTTTATCCTTAAATTTATAGTTGTTAGTATTTTCTTTTGTTTCATGTAAATCTATTAGAGTATTTTTATTGTTTCATGTTTTTATATTTAATGAGTGGTTATTTGTAGATATTAAGTGTCTTCCACCAATGGCATGAGGAGGAGGAGGAATAAGTAATGTGTTGCAAGAAAAGAAGATAGAAGAAAGATGAAAATGTGTGCAGCCATGGTCAAGGAAATATGCTCAAGACAACGTGTGGTTCAATGCCAAATGAAAAGAAGAAGCAATCAATTGTTTCTATGCTCTAGGACATGCATGCAAGCTTCCATCATTGAAGAAATAAAGAAAGAATGAATAAACAATGAAT